ACTCGCAGGATGGCCACACAGTGAGGAGCCTTCCACATGGCCAATAGTGCTGGGTAGGGTTGTAGGTGTCTTATTGTTTCCACTCCAGACTCAAGGTTAGTAGAAAGTGGCACTGTGATTAAGGCATTGGGCTGCTAACCAAAAGGTTGGTGGTTTGAATCCATCAACTGCTCTGCAGGAGAACGATGAGGCAGTCCACTTCCATAAAGACTTACAGCCTTGGAAACTCTATGGGGGTCACTATGAGTTGACATTGACTTGATGGCTGTAGGTTTGGGTTTAGATGGACTTTGGTACTGTATCGTTGTTTTAAAGTGTTAAAACAACTCAGAAGTTAAGCCAACCCTCAATGGAAAGAGCTAGCCTGTGATGTATTTACATACCCTTTCTGGACCTTGGGTTCCTTATCTCTACAATACAAGGGGCAAGGTGGTTGCTAAGCTCCACTGCAGCTCTCAGTCTGTGATTTCAGGCTTGCTTCGCTCCTAGTCAGCTTCCTATGGAGCTCAGTCCTACTCTGGCACACAGAGGGTTGCCATGGTTTGGAATGGACTCTGCAGTAATGGTGTAGTCAGAGTTAGTTTCTCTGCTTGAATTGCCTGCTATAATCTGGGTTCCAACACACTGGCTCCTTTGCTGGAATGACGTTTTGTGTGCTTTTCTTAACAGACGCTTCATATTAGTTTTAGCTTAAAATTCGCTTTTCTGTAGCAAGTTATTCAAAATACTCCCCCCACCTCCACCAGTTTCTTCATTATCAGATGTGAAGTCAGTCATTTTAATGGAGAAAAAATCCTCTTTAATTTTACTATGGGGTAATTTCACAATTTTGACCCACAGGATATTTTCTGAATGGCTATGGATCATCATTCTCTTTTAAGAAATACTATTATTGTCTATAAAATTCATTTAATGCCAAATAACTCACTGGAAAATCCCATAAGTTGTTATGTGCCATCGAGTTGGCCCTGACTCATAGCGACTCCACCTTGGGTTTCCGAGGAAGTATCACTACGGAAGTAGATTGCCTAACCTTCCTTCCGAGGAGTGGCTGGTGGGTTTGAACTGCCAGCCTTCTGATTAGAAGTCAAGTGCCGTAGGCACTATGCCACCAGAGCTCCTAAAGGAGAAGTACATTTATAAAAAACTTCAAATCCAACAAGCAGCTCCAGATGTGGTATATATTTTTTAAGTACCTTTTTGCTTCAAGTTCATTCACAGTCAAATATCATTTTGCTAGGATATGGAAGGTTGGGCAATCCTACTTCCATAGCGATACTGCCTTGGAAACCCAAGGAGGGGTCGTTATGAGTCGGGGCTGACTCGACGGCACATAACAACAAAAAAAGAACACACTCAGTGATAAAGAAAGATCACCACTAATCACTTGCTATTTCAGACTCTCAGATTCCTACTTGGAATAAAATACCAAAATGGATTTTTCTTTCATTTAGTTCTAAGATTTTGGTTCTTTTATTTTACAAGTCATATGTGGTTGGAATTTAGTGCCTAAGGCATCTGACTGCTAACCAGAAGGCTGGCAGTTCAAACCTACCAGCCACTCCTCGGAGGGAAATCGGGTAATCTACTTCCATAGAGATACCGCCTCAGAAACCCAAGGAGGGGCCACTATGAATTGAATTGACTCGATGGCACTGTTTTTTTTTAATCTAGAAAGTGTGGTGGTCTCTCTTAAGTACTCTGTCTCTCTTTCATGTTTCATTTGAATGCAGCAGTGAAATTTCCCAGGGAGGGCATTTCTGGATCAAATACGCTCACTTGGGAGGTCAATGCTGTCTAGCTTTTGAGACTCGACATGTCTGAGAAAGAGTGCAGGGCACACTCTCAGAGACAAGATGTAGCCTTCCTCTCTTAAATTACTGCAGACAGAGAGCATGTTGCAGTTGTTAAGTGCTGTCGAGTTGGTTCCGACTTACAGTGAACCCATATGTAACAGAATGAACACTGCCTGGTCCTGCACCATCCACAGTTATTGTTATGCTGGAGCCCACTATGGCAACCACTGTGTCAATCCATCTTTGTTGAGGGTCCTCCTCTTTTTTGCTGACCCACCCTCCAGGGATGGGTCCCTTCTGATAACATGTCCAAAGGACATGAGATGTCATCTCCTCATCCTTGCTTCTAAGGAGCATTCTGGCGGTCCATGGTACATTCAGTATTCTTCACCAACACAATTCATACCATTATTGGAGATTGATGATTCCAATGAAACACCTCTGACACCAAAACAGCCAGTGGAAAGGCAATAAAGTCAGTGCTCGGTATATTATAAACACGCTGGGTGACTGAATGATGAGTTCATTTATTCCAGCCAGCTTTTTTAATGTCATATAATTTCCAGAATAAAAGCGTATAGGTTTTTTTCAAAATACAGAATTTCAAAATCACATACTGAGAAAAAAGCCTGGCCAATTAAGAAGGCTGAGGGTGCTGTGAGTAATGGCAGGTGCTTTTATTTCCAGCTATCAACAGAATGGAGAACAACTTTAACATATTTCAACAGAATGGAGAAAAAAACTCAACTTATTTATATTCATTTATTTATGTGGGTAATGAATAAGTTAAAGAAGACTTCATCTCAAACACAGATTCTTTTTCTTTTAGCTAAGGTCCTGTTTCAGGTCCATATATATTTTTGAATTTTCATCAATGTCAAACACTTTTTTTTTTAACTTTCTTCTTAAAAAAAAAAATTACAAGCACTTTTACGGCACTCAAGAAAAGTAGGCTGAAGGTTTGTGATAATTTTCCTTTTAAAAAACATCCATCACACCAAAATAAAACCATTTTAATTAACTCCTTCCTGAGTAACTAAAACCTTGGAATGTGCTGAAAGGTTATAATAAATAAGGCAGTCAAAGATGAACCAGCTTAAAATGTATTTTTTTAAATTAAACTATGTAAAATGTACACTATCTTTCATGAAGCAAAAACTGTGTTTGGCCCAGAGCCAAAGAAACTTTGTCACGTGCTCCAAATAAATTGATGGAGTGCCTCAGCTTTCAAGGAGAAGAGATGTAACCTAGGGGCTGTTTGTTGGGCCAGAGTAACAGTCTACATCTTTTGTTGTTATGGTACAGAAGGATCACCACTGGACACAGATATCTTCACACACACGAGAAGTGCCCATGTGAATCTGTACTAAGAGGGTGAATTTTCTTAAATGACCAATGGTCCCGATATTCTGACAACAGCAGAGAAAATTTAGCCTCTCCTTCTCTTTAAGATGAAACTCAACTTTATTTTCAGATTATGAGATTGCACAGTGTGTAAACTAATCATTATTCTTTATAAGTAATTTATAGACATGATTCACAATGTAGCAGGCAGCAGTTCTTGTTCTTGTTCTTGTTCTGAATACGATAGCAGTTTTGGGGCTGCTTTCTAAAGAATGTCTCAATGAATCGTAGGGCCCTGGTCTCTCTGAACATGGAAGGGGTATTTCCTCTTCTGAGGACATCTCCCTTCATCACCTTTGCCCCAGTTCTCTGTGGGCAGAAGGCAGGCTCACCAGTGGCTAAGTGCTGGATTTTGTGCCTCTGGTGGCCCCAGCCTCCACTGGATTCCTGGGGTGGGGTGGGGGGTGGAGCCTTCTGAATACATCTTATTATAAAGCAGCTGTAATTCGCACTTGACAGGTTCCAAATGGTTTGCTTTATATCTTGGCTACCATCCAATTGTAATGAAGGAAGAAAAAATTCTACAGAGACTTGGTTTCTGAAAAATAGAAAATGTGTAGCTGTGTAAAGCCAGAGTCTTAGTGACTATTAAATACTTCCAATTCACACTTGGCTAGTGTGCTTGGAGGGCTGGCTCGAGGGGACAAGGCATGAAGTAGACGAAATTGGTTGTAGGTGTCCTTTTGGTTGGATTCCTGCCCCCACCACCTACACTTCTGCTTCTCAGCAAGCTGTAATCATCTACCCAGGGGTGTGTGTGTGTTTTTCAGCTGGGTTTTTAAAAATGTGAAAACACTTCAGAAACCAAAGAAATAGCTTTGCAATGACTAGACCAAGGCATCACTGATAGGCAGCAGGTGATGGGAGTGGGAGGTGGAAGGAGAGATTTTGGGCAGTGGAACTGCCCCACATCTACTCAGGTCACGCTGGGGACAGCCACCTCCTCATAAAGCTGGCCAGGCAGTTTCTTACTGAGAAAGTTTTGCTGCTTCTCTTCTTGAGAAAGGATGCTCATTCGGAAGCTGGTTCCATTAGAAAGGAGACCAATTCCACTGCTGACGGCACAGAACTCAGCGTCCCTAGTTACTAAAATCAGGGACTAGAAGATCCCAAGTACTATGGGACCCATCGTGGTTCAGGAGTGTGGCTGATAGGCTGTGCGCTGTCCGTGGTTAGGCCTAGAACTTCTGCCATTGAGGTCAAGTGCTAGAGCTACCCAGGCTCCCAAGGGTTCCATTTAAAGCAGTATCAAGGAAACAGATGTTTCATATCGGGTGGAAAACACAAGAAGACCATGCCCTTTTCCTGCTGCTGCATCACCTCCAGATCTTACCTGTCTTGCCTTCACTCCTTATGCTCCAAATTCTTATCCCTGCTCTGCTTCTTCGTGATCTATTAGGATGATGCTTGGAAAGAAAATGCCTCACTGCAGCTTGCCATGTACTTTGGCCTTTGAAAGGGGCTCAAGGCTCTGAATTGGTTGGGGAGGTGTCATAAGCCAACTTGCTCTTTCAGAGATAAGTACACTGCTCCTGGTGAAGGTGTCCCTTGAGATGGACCAGAGGCAGAATTCTATCCAATGTGGGTAGAAACCACTTATCCAGGGACACCTTCTCTTTTGATGTCCTCATCTGTCTGGCTTACTTTCTCCACCTAGTCTTTTAGAGTAGATGCTCTGGTCTCTAAAGTGGTTTTGTATTTCTACTGCAATATACAAATTTGGATGTCTCCTATCACTGAGGTAATACTTTTTACAAGTTATTTTACAAATGATAAGTTATTGGGCTATGGAGTATATTTCTCCCCCTCTCTCCCACTATACTACAGGAAAAAACAGTTATTTTATGACAAGATGCCTTGTGATAGAGCCATCTAATATACCTGGGAAGGACCCAAGGAGCCAAGGAAAACACATAATAAAATTAAACAAATAAAACCCGCAAAACCGGGCATCTCCCAATGACCCCAACATGTGGGAATGTTTTGTTCTTTTTAATGCAGCCAAGCATTAATTTAGTTCCTTAAGGAATTTTTTTTTTTTTTTTTCTCCAAACAAAAACTTTCTGGAAAGGGAGATAAAGCCAGGGGGGCAACACAGTACTGCATCACCTTTTATAAATATCTTGTAACCACTTTTCATCATCTTGCTCCTCATCATCAGCTGGCTCCTCGGTCTCCAGTGGAGTTGGAATAAAGAAATGTGGTCTCAGAGGGGGCTTGCTGACGTGAGACTTCAGTCCGAACTTGCGCTTCAGCAGGTGGAACTGCTCTCGGACGTAGTGGTAGAACTCATACTCATATCTCATTCGCTGGTAGAGGATCTGCACAGCCTCGGGAGAGGGGACAGTCTTCTTCACAGTCACAGTCATGTTTCCAAGTTTCCTATGCTCTGGAAGAGAACCGAGGTCACACGTGAGCAATCCTTTTTCCTTTGGTAAATACACATGGAACAAAACACTTGCCATTTCAGTGTTCTTCACATGTACAATGTGGTGAGATTAATTGCATCCATCATGTCATACAACCATCACCATTTTCTGTTTCCAATTTTTTCCCATCATCCTGAACAGAAGCTCAATGTCTCCTAAGCAATGAGTCTCCCATTCCCTCTCCCTCCTGCTACCGTCAGTAATCATGAATAAACGTAGGGCTGTATACACTTGCCTATCCTTGATATTTCATATAAGTGGGATCATATGATATTTTTCCTTTATGAGTAATCATTCTTAATGCTTTCATAAATAGTGTGGGCCAGTATTATCTGGATATTACCAGCACTCACAGAAAGAAATTAAATATCCAAGTAATGGAAGGGAAAAGTGGTACTCAACCAAATGTGGAAAGACCTCACCATATTCTAAGCATTAACAGCATCATTAGTTGGCTAAACATAAACTATCTAACTTCCTTTTCATGTGATGTGAAACATACAATTTGACCACCATTTAATTGTTAGCTATAAGATATGTATTCCTTTAACAACAACATTTGTCTGCTCTTCCTCTTTTATTTCCTATTATACACACACTTCAGAATAAGGCACTCAGATAAGCTGGTTCTTAATGAAAACTTTTGTTATCAATTTTGAATAGGTATGCTATTTACTAAGCATAGCTCTAAATGGCTGCTTACAAAATCAGATTTACCCTAGAGGACTTATCACCTTTGAAGGTATTTGAGGTATTTAGGAGACTTTCTGAAGCTTCAGATAATAGCAGTTCTGGAATTAAAAAAAAAAAAAAAAAATTCTCCAAGTGGTAATGGCCTCATTGAAATAGGTAGTCTTTGAAATTGGTCTTCTTGAAAGGACACAATACACATATCATTCTATACAATTCTACACAATGGACATATCATTTCTACACTCTTTGTTAAACAACGTGGCATAGACTCTTCTAAGATGGTTTCATGATGGGACATTTTATATTAACTGAGTTCTCAGCAGATATTTTAATTAGCTTATCAAGGGCGGGGCATGTTAATAGGCCTTAACTGTTTTGAAACACTTTGTGTTTTTAAAACAGAGTTAAAAAAAAATCTTACAGACAAGGCACAGTTTTTAACCACTGAGGCACAAGAGAAATAATTCGTCTCTATCCAGTCTCCTACAATCTTTTTCTCTTGAAGCATTCATGTTTTTGTTATCTAATCAAAGAAAAAAAGATTCCTGTGATTTTACAATGAAATCATTAGTTAAATTGTTTGGTCCAACTAGTTCCAAAAATAATGTAAAGCACCTTATATTATGTATTTAAAAAATATTTATTGTAAGGTACTTTACATTATCCATCTATCTACCCATCCATCCATCCACCACCCATCCATCCATTGATCTTTTCATCCATCCATCCACTCACCCACCCATCCATCCATCCACCCATCCTTCAATCCATCCATCCATGTATCTGAGTCCCTGGGTGGTGTAAATGGTTAAAGTTTGGAGGTTTGATTCCACCCAGAGGCACCTCTGAAAAATCAGCCACTGACAATCCTCAGGAGCACAGTTATACCCTGACACACATGGGGTCACCAGGAGTTAGAATCAATTGGACAGAAACTTGTTTTACTGAGATGTTGATAGTTGCCCTTGAGTTGATTCTAACTCCTGGTGACCCGTGTGTGCAGAGTAAAACTGCTCTGTAGGGTTTTCAGGGTTGTGACCTCTCATAAGCATATTGCCAGGCCTGCCTTCCACGGGGTTTATCTGCTGAGGCATCTATATCTATATCAGGGGCAGTGGTTAAGTGCTTGGCTGCTAACTGAAAGGCTGGTGGTTCGAATGCACCAGCTGCTCCACAGGAGAAAGATGTGGCAGTCTGCTTTTGTAAAGATTTACGGCCTTGGAAACCTTATGGGCCAGTTCTACCTGTGCTACAGGTGGGTAAGAGTTGGAATCAACTTGACAGTGGTGGGTTTAGTATGTCTATATATTGCAGTTAGCTATATAGCTAAGGAACTGGGCAAAGGGAAATGAGGGTCAGAAAGAAATCAGGAGCAAGGTCAGTGTTTAGGGTAATGGCTCCCTCTCTCCATACTGGAGGCTAGAATAATGCGCATGGGCTCTTGCCCCAACCCCTCTTCAGGGAGTGGGTCAAGCACGGGGGTGCAGGTGGGGTGAGAAGAGGGGTACTTCTGATGGTGCATCTGGGGGTTGGTAGAGCATGCTCCTCCAGTGGAGGAGTGTGCTGTCTGCAGACTTTGCATCCTCTGCAGGGGAGGCTCTGGTGCTCAGCCACTGTGCCTCGGCCAGTAAGTCCTCCTAACTCAGAAGGGAATACTAGCGGTCTAGGTCTCCTCCTATCTAAGCTGCACTTGCCCACCTAACTTGCAGTGGTAATAAAGCTGACATTGGATCTCCACCTGTCTGACTTCCTTATCTATTTCTCAATTAGTATAGAACCCAGCTGGGGAAAATGGGTATTACCTATTAGTCCTCCAAACCCCAATGACGAATCACACAAAACACACATGGTGACGTCTCAGCTACTTGGGCAGGACCTGGACCAAGAGCTCACTCTAAAGTTTCTAACAGCCAACAAAGGATTTAACATTTTACATTGTTCTTAATTTCACAGCAATCTATTCACAACTATTCCTAGTTATGAAACCACAGAGAAATGTCTTCCTTGAATTTTCATCAGGAAAAAAAAAATGTAATTAACAACATTTTAATACCATCCTTAGAGACAGTTCAGCTGCGAGTTTCATGATATGTATGTGAGAGAGAAAAATGGCATGTTGCAGATAGACTGGTCTCGACTGGTCTGGCTTGATCTGGGAATTCAATCAGAAAATCCAGAGTACAGGCTCTTAACCCTCTTGAGAATCTAATCAAAGTTCATGATCAGGGACATGGGGACTTCTTAGACTCCATCTATGAGTATCTACAATATTTACTCATCTGTTAAAAAACCAAAATGCCGTTGAGTCTATTCCAATCCCTGGTGACCCTACGTGTGTCACAGCAGAACTGTGTTCCATCGGGTTTCAGTGGCTGACTTTCTGAAAGTAGGTCCCCAGGCCTTTCTTTGAAGGGCACCTCTGGGTGGACTTGACCTCCCAATCTCTCAGTTAGCAGTCCAGCGCACTGTGTGCATCACCCAGGGACTCCAGGCATTGGTTTAGAACCCTTGATTTTGAGATATCAATAGACTGCATTTCCTCCAACTATCTTTCATCTCTCTGTTTATTCTGCCAAGTATCAGCCTCCAGTATAATAAATAAATACCTGGAGCGAGTTATTTCACATGCCAGTCAGGTGTATAGTTATAAGCATTGCAGTGGCCAAGGGGAAAAGATTTGGATTGATATCTTATGAGGGGCCTATCAGGACCTGGAACTTGATTAGAAGGCCACCCACTGCTTTATGGAGGAGGACCCGGTGGAGTAAGGGTAGAAGGAAACAGTTCTTTGTAAAAAGTAATCTGGGATCTGCTCAACTCAGGGCCTGACAGCTTGGTGTCTTATGGTTGAAAGAATTGTTTCCTAAACACTAATGTATGGGAAGTATAATCAAACAACAATCTGATCACAGGAAATCTGAGCGAAGTCTCCATTGAATTTCTAACCTAGAGCAAGGTCACTCCCCAGTCAAGATAAACTGGTTGCAAAATGTTGATCTATAAAATGAATTGAATTGTTTTGTTATAAAGGGTTATTAACCTTAGGCCAGTAAAAGTTTGAGAAGATCTTAAAAAGGGACAGCATGATGATCTGAACGTTTCCTTCTCCCCCCATCTTTGATCATGATGAGGTAACTGGGTCAACTGCTGGGAAGCTCCTCCGAGTTCATGACGAGGAAGCTTTCTTGCCTGCATGTTTTCTTTCTCTGTGGCTAGAGGTGGGAGGCAATTGGGGGGTGGGTAGAGCAGGTAACCAATTCTGTCAAAAGTGATATTCTGTCATTAACGTACAAGTGAAAAGAAAAAGGCCATATGCTCATTTTATATCAGTAGTTAACTAACGATTTGTCAAGAGATGGTGGCAGTCCCAGTTAAGCCTGACATCTTATGGTGTGTATTTATAGTAAAGGCTACCATTTTGGAAACCCAAGGAGGTGTCGCTATGAGTCAGGTCTGATTCAATGGCACATAACAACAAAAACAACCATTTAGTGAGTAAGGTGTACTAAGCAAAGAACCAAGCACTTATACACATAATCTTATTTAATCTTCACAATAACCCTTCCAGGAGAGGGCCATCTTATAGATGAATAAACAGAGATGAATGTGACTGATTTGTTCAAGGTTGTGCAGCTAGAAAGTTCCAGAAACAGAAGGTTCTGCATGATAATCAACTGTTGTGCTGAAGAAAGGTTACAACCTTATTATTGTTCCTTAGACATTTCTCCTCAGGTGATAGAGCATAATGGTAGCCAACAGCTGGGCCTAGACTTGGGGAGTCCACACTTGTGGCAGACCATGCATTTTAAAAACACAAGCCTTTTAGAGGGAATGGCTGTTAAGCTAATGGGTTTATAATCTGAAGGAAGAAAAAGGTTGATTTTTTTGGAGCTAACCCATCTCTGGGCCAATCAGAATGGCCAGTATCCATCAAGTTAATGATGAAAACAACCACAAAAACTCTATTTGGAGTGGTCCTTAGTTCCACCTAAGAGGGGGAAACCTTTTCCTGGGAGTTTTACTTAGGTGGAATTTGTAATTTTGTGTTTCTAGTAGGGAACATTATTCTAACCCACTCAGAAATGACCTGAGATCTACAGGGCTTGGGAAACGTAACTTTTTCATGAAGACTAGCATCAGAACTTCTACAGTGTCCTCCACCAAGCTTATTCCTGGACAGCACCAGGCTTGAGGATCCCACTCAGATCCCCTTACATTGACTTATTTTATACACATTTTATAAAAATTTTATAAGGTAATGGAGACC